CAAAAGTCTTGTCTCGTGTAGTGGGTGGAAAATCTTTTAAAATAAAGCTAAAAGTTTTATATGGAGTTAAAAGTATAAAAACATGCCCTCAAAATTATTTCACTCACAGTAAATTTAATTTGACTCACACTAAAAGTTTTATATGGAGTTAAAAGTATAAAAACCTACCCTCAAAATTATTTGACTCACAGACGAGAGTAGATTAACAAGCATTCTGCAAAGGTAAATTACATAAATATAAATCTCTTAATAATTTATTAGAAAATATAAAGACCATAGAATGGCTGCTAACTTTCTATTAAAAACCCCACTTTCCAGTTGATTTCTGCTGAACTTGTAAGGACGTGAAGATGACAAATAAGTTACTCTCTATGGCCACAAGTAATACGATCAATTTTCTTTTTTATTTACTACTTCAATTTGACGTTATTTTCACAAGCAAGTAGACAATCAATTAATCAGTCAATCCACCCATCCACCCATCCACCCATCCACCCATCCACCCATCCACCCATCCATTCATTGAAAAATTACTAAGTTTGCCATGAATCCAAAAAGCTAATCAGATAAAGAACAGCCACTACATCTAATGCTAATCCTAATCGTTTGATTTGTGATCCGAATTAAGAGAACTCTTTCAGCTAATCAGATCCAAAACGTAACCAATCGTGGCAATTTCCCGCGCTTCAAAGGATATGTTTGTTTTGGCACTTTTCGATTTTCTTTCTCGCAATCTGATTGGCCGTTGTTGTTACTCAGACCAAGGTTTTACAAATGATAATCGCATACCGCTCTGTAAAGATTGGTTAATAATTATTTTAGTAAATCAACCCCCTTTACACTTACGTCTGTACGTCAGGTGTTAAAGTCACAATTGGAGCAACAAAAGAAGATGTCACGGGTGCTAACGCGGCACTAGATGGTTTCACTGTGGTAAAAGGAGCAGAACTTAATGTTGGTAATTCTGTGACTAGCGTCGACTCTAAGCTAGCAGAACTCAGTATTGAAGGTGCATTGGAACTCAATGTTGGGAGTGCTGTTACTGACATGGATAGATTTTGAGAGGAACTGAACATTGGAAGTATCGGTGAACTCAGTGTTGATATCTCTGTAAATGGCGTAGATTGGTTCAAGAAGGAACTCAGCGCTGAAGGTGCAGGGGTACTCAAAGTCGATATTTCTACGGCTGGAGTGGACTGGTAAAAGGAGAAACTGGATACTGAAAGTACTGGAGAACTCATTGCTGGTGATACTGTTTTTTTCGTAGACAGAGTAGAACGATGATTCATTTCGGAAAGAATTGGAGAACTCAGTGATGATGTTATTGTGACTGATGTGGTCAAAGGAACCATCGGGCTGGAACTCATAACAGACGAGCTTGGTGGAGCTGCAAAGTAAATTGGATCTTAATAAGAAAAATAGTCAGATTGGCAGTTTACCTGCAAGGCCTTAGTATATACTGCCTTCCGCATACAACGAACAGCTAATAAGTGTGTACGTTATGTTCTTATCATATTTAGACCTCAACTCTCACCCATTTATCCACTTAACAGAAGAATAAAATCTCGTTTGCCTTATGTTATTCAGCAATGAAAGGAAAGAAACAGAAAATTTAACATCTTTATGACGTCATACACACCACTATCTTCTAGATAATAAATAGGAACCGGGGAAAGACCGGTAGAATTCTTCTCTCCAAACTGNAGTGCGCATGATCTAGCTTACCTAAATCCAGCTTGCTGGTCCCTCAGTCTTCCACCCACTGCCGATCTTAGCCGCTCTAACACAATTCGGTTGAAGACTTTACTTGCTGTGCATAACAAAGTAATACCTCGATGATTATCACAGTCCCTGAGGTTACCCTTCTTGGACAGTTTAACTATAAGTCCCTCTTTCCACTCAGTAGGTGATTTCTCGTCCTCCCAGATGCTCTTGAACAGTTCATGTAGGACCTCTGTGGTGGTGTTGATGTCTGCTTTGAATGCTTCCGCTGGAATGTTGTCGGTACCTGCTGCCTTTCCGTCTTTCATCTTCCTAATGGCGCTACTAATCTCTCTCCTCGAAGGTATGGCACAGTTTACTGGGAATAAATGTTCAGCTTCTGGGATATCGGTTCCTTCATCCGGGGGTGGCCTGTTCAGGACCTCTCCAAAATGCTGGACCCATCTATGCAGCTGTTCTTCTGTAGTGGTCAGAATATTTCCTTGTTTGTCCTTGATGGTATGATTAACATGACAAAATTTCCCAGCTACCTTTCTTGTGGTGTAATACAGGTCTTTCATGTTCCCTTTTGCTGCGGCATCCTCCGCCTCCTTTGCTAGGTTCTCTATATAGCATCTCTTATCCTTTCGAGAACTCTTTCTAGCTTCCTTATGCGCCGCATCGTATTCCTTCTGCGCCTGTGACTTTTCTGCACGTGTCCGGCTGTTGTTTACCCGCTCTTTCTTGCACTTCCTTGCTCTCACTTTCTTCAGAGTATCCATTGAGATCCAATCCTTGTTTTGGGACTGCTGCCTTCCTAAGGTGCCCTCACAGGTACTAATCCATGAGCTCTTTAGAAGTTCCCAGAGCGTGTCAATTGTACCGTCTTCATTTTCAATTTCTTCCAGTGCTTGAAACCGGTTCCTAAGGTTGATTTGGAAAGCCTCTGCAACTGAAGGATCCCTCAGGTGTGTCACATTGTACTTGGTTCTTGCTTGCTGTTGAGCATGACACCGCTTAAGCTTCAGTTTTTTTCATTTACTAGTAGATGATGGTCGCTACCGACGTCTGCTCCCCTCATAGCCCTGACATCATGTAATGATCTTCTGAACTTTCGGGCAATACAAAAATGATCTATCTGGTTTTCGGTGATGTAATCAGGGGAGCGCGTTCAGTGCAGTGATAGATCACAAATGACGTCAAAAATAATGTCGTAAAAACGGCGCAACCGAGCGTTTCACTTGGTCTTCAAACCACATCAGAGCTGTTGCTAGCATGAGGCAAGGCAAGGCAATTGCCTCGCCTCGATCTTGCCCTTTTTTTTTTTTAAGATTGACTTTTCTGAAAAAGAATGCGCGGAAAATAATTAAAAGAGCATTTCTGAACCTCTAGATTTCAAAATGTTATGAGGGGCATGCCCCCAGACTAGTCTCCTGGCGGGGGACTAGTCGACCGCTAGACTAGTCCCCCGCCCGACTACTCTCCTTGCGGCTCACGCCTTCGGCGCTCGAAACTTGCCTTGTCTTCTTCTGAAGTCTGGCTACAGCCCTGCATACGTTGACGTTTTCTGTGATCTATTACCATCAGACCCACAACATGATAGCTATTTCTTGTACGATAACAAAGCAAAAGGATTTTGATGGTGACTTCATCTATGTATCTGTCATCTAATAGATCATAGATGAGAACCAATCAAAATGCATGTAAGATTCAGCTTATAATATAAATCTGAGCGATAGTATGCAGCTCGTCCGTAGAACAACACAAACTTACGTAGGTCTATGTGGTACTGAGCCAGGAATCCTCTCAGTCTGACAGACGAGTCAGAAGTAAAAGTCACTGTTACCAAAGGAGTTGTGTTTCCATTCACTGCAACTTCGTAATTCTGCTTAAGGCCGCTTAACGATGCTATTGTTTGACCATCACCGTCTGTCAAGCGAACGAAATCACAACTGCAAGAAATTGAAGAATGTTTACAAGGTTATGTACATCTACACTGTTCAAATGTTTTTCTCCATTAACTACTCATCGGCAAGCAATATAGGAGAGAAAATTCAAACGCAATAGTCGGTTAGATATCACTCCAATTTCTTGTCTCTCGAAGAGTTATAGTATATATTTCATTTTACAGCTGTATATTCACGTTCAGTTGTGCCGTCAGTGATGGAGCATGCGCAGAGGGTCTCAATGAGGCGAGAATAATGTTTGTATTATGGTTCGTACCAGTTCCATCTGTGTCAGGTCAAAACGAGAAGCCTTCGGGAAAAAAAGAGTACTCCAAACAAGAGGTGAGCCGGGGAAGCAATTAGAATTTTTATTCATAGCTAATTAAAGGAAAATAAACGTCATAGCTTGGTGCAAAAGGGGTGACTGACTGAGGGCGATTGTAGATTACCAATTAATAGTTGTAAAACCTTACTCACCACTGCTCCGTATCGAACACAACGAAGGTAAGAGTTAGATTCCCATCAGAAGGAATTAGCAAAGTCCATGCGCAGTCCAGGTTGTTGTCGTATTTATACTGCACGGAATATCCTGGAGTTCCAAACGTTCCTGAAGTGCCATTCAACATTCCTCCACAGCCTGCAAAAAAAAAAAAAGAAAGAAAGTAAACGATGACACGACGTCATTCACAGACGTTAGGTTCAAACGCCAAGCTGGTAAATGGAAGATCTTTCGCCCGTTTTCACGGTCGTATCGAGACTTCATGGTTCTTGTTCAAGAAGAGAAAATTAAATAATTTTTGCGAGATCCCAAGAAAACTTAGTTGAGCCAATTCAACAAATTTTTCCGAGAGTTTGTTCTCCACCAAAATATTCACGGAACAAATGAGGTGTATGTAAAAAAATGGCTCAATTGAGGCATATTCCCATGTCTAGAGACTCGCCTGAGGTCACCCACTGCCATACTGGTAATGAAGCCTATAAGATTTATTTGAGATTTTTAAACTTACCAAAGAAGGGAGATTGTGTTGGCCCCTGTGTCGTTGGCATTGGCGTTGATGGTGCTAAAGGAAAATACACACCCACTTTTGTCAATGTTGTCAAGGTGATTCAAAAGTCTTTGGGTTACTATTGCATTTTATGCCCTTAAACCCTGTACTCGAGCTAAATGGCCATCTAGCCGGGATGTATCCAGATTTACATTACATGAAGCGTCCAGAAGTATTGCTTCACCCTCCAGGGTTGTATGCCAGTCTATCGCAAGGTTACC